CATTTATCAAAGCTTGCCGCTACTATATCCGTCCGTATTAAAATTGGTAATAATCCGTCCGCCCTATAAATCAGACGATGCAGTTAATACTATGAATTTTAGTGTTCATTTTTTAGAGGACTTCTTGATTAATAGATGTTATAGAGTTTTTTGCGTTTATTTTCTACGTTTTTTATTAATAATTAAATAGATTATTATATAATAAATAAATCATTATATATTATATATATTAACTAATTGTATATTAGAACTTTTCATATATTATTTATTTAGTATCATATAATTAAAAAGATACTACTAGATATTATTTATATGTAAACATATATTAGTAAATATCTTATTAAATATCTTATTAAATTTGTATGAAAAGAAATTATTTATATTAAAGTTGCCAAAAATTATTGAAGGAATTTTTTCACAAATTTAATTCTGTTTAATTGGAATAAAGAAAATTGTTTAAATGCATATTTAAATAGATCTTATATATATTTTAAATAACGTAAGTTCAATAAAATATATAAATATGCACACAATATAACTTTATACATATACATATATATGTATATATTACATAAGTAGCTAAAACAGAGTTATTATTTAATAAATGTATCAATAAATAAATGTAACATAATTAATTATAAATAATGATTTCAATTTGCACAATAAAAAATATTACATTTTGAAAACAAAAAATGTTATAATAAAATAAAAAATTAACATTATAAACATACATTTTATAATATATATTATTGAAGGAATTTTTTCACAAATTTAATATGATAATTTACAGCTATTTCAACATTTTGTATAATACATATAGCACATAAAGATTATTTCAGTTATTATTGTAATATTTGATTAATTATTATAGAATACAATAAAAATTTTTAATATTGAGTATCTATATTATACTTACATTATCAGGTTAATTATCAAAATAGAAATGGAATGCCACGATATAAAAAGGATAAACTTATATATAATTATTATAAAAAGTCCTGATAATTTTGTTAAATTCAAGAAACATTGTGTATGTATTTAAAGATGACTATAAATAAATTTAAATTGTATTTATTAAGATAGATAGGAAACGATAGAAAGCAACTGCAAATTTCATATTTGTGTTAAAGTATCGATCGTGAATATTGCATTAGCTGTAACCATGCATGCAGACAATTTAAATCTATACACGTATACTGGTATTAAATAAGAAGTAAATACTTTTTAAGTATTTACTTAAACTTTACTTTACTATATTTTTTGAAGTATTCATATGAATGCTTACATTAAATTTATATTAAATCCCTTTCAATTAATATAATATAAAATTCTTAAAATATATCAGAAATTAAGCATTTAAATAAAAATGAAACAAAAATTAACAAAGAAAATTTGATAAAAAATTTTTTACATTTTTTTTGATATGTAAAATGTATCATTAATATTACATTATAAAAGTACTGAATCATAATTTTGAAAAATATATATTTATATTTCTATTTGTATTTAAATTTTAAAAAATTCTATTTAAAATAAAAATACTATATATGTTTTATATATTTTCAACGTTTTTTAAATTTTAAAGCATATTTCTGATATTACATAACATAAAAACCATGAATATAAATAAATTTAAATTAAAACTTTATTTTGTAATTTTATTGTATATTATTGTCATATCGACAGTATGTGTACTACATGTGTATTGGTATTGTATTTCGTAAACTTGCTCCATTGTTATATGCTTTGGATTCAATGCATACATGATAACTGATATAAAGCCATTTGGTCGTAATTGACTCTTCAAACATGAACATGTGTGCTTTAAAACTTCGAATACTAAAGAATTAAGATAATATTTAATTATTTATGTTAAATTATTTATGTTAAAATATAAATTTTTATTTTATAAAAATATGCAGTATAAAAATGTTATAAAAATTTGTGTTTTGTTTAATATGGTTAAGAACATTTCACTAACATGTTGTTATCTTTATTAAAACCAATGTAGTCGTATGCTAAACCGAAACATTTATGAAGCGAAAGCATTTATGGTAGGACAAATGTCTATACAGATCAATGTTGAATGCGAGATGCAGTCTAGAAATAGGAACATTCAGCATATAGAAATTGCAAAATAGTTTATACTGCATTTATTATGCTATAGTTATTCCAAATTCAGTTTGGATTATATTATGCAGAAAGTTTATTTTAAAGTTATATCTATTTCCGCATTGTGTTCCTATAATTCTATTGTATTTGTGCCGAAATTAAAATAATATCATATATTATTATAATATAATTCTCAAAAGAAACCTAATATGAATTGTACGTATTACGTATATAAATTTATTAATTTTTGTATGAAATCTACAGTGTGTAATTTAATTTATTAATTAGCAAAATACAGTTTGTGACGTGTGTAGAAGTTAGTAAACTGTTGTTGCTCAATACTGTAGCACTAAAATTACATTATCAACGAAGCCATTAAATTGGAAAACTAATGTAGTGAAGGGTCGATTGAAAAGATAATTGAGATTGCATTGTCTAAATGGAATTATGTATATGTTAGATAAATATAATTATTATTAAGTAAAACATTATCTTTAGAAATCAAGTAATATTAAAATAAATAGCAAAGTTTTTTATATATAAAGTATATATATTAATTTTTTGAAAAGCTTTTATAATTGATAAGAAGAATCACAATAAGTAAAAGTGAAAAATTGTCTTGATAAGAAGAATCACAATAAGTAAAAGTGAAAAATTGTCTTATCTTTGTATGATAATCTTTGTATGATAAATAATATGATATTCAAGAATCGAGATATAAGAAGATTAATGTGTCTATAAATAATTTTATTTCCGATGTGAGATTTAGTTAATTAAATCGGAGTGACACATTATCTACTTTTCTCTTTTTTAAAGAAATATCCGGTTGTCATTGAATGTCTTTCATTTTTCATGAAAATCGAAGTTAATTTAACGCTCAGCTAAGCAAATTTAATGCAGTTAGTATTATCGGTTTCTTAAGTTTGTAATCTGAGTATTCACTTTGTAGTAGCGATAATCTATGCTTTACCAGGTATATTCAATATCTGAAAGATTAATTACACAATTTAAAAAAAAAAATATATATATATATATATATATATATATAATAACTGAATTTTCACGATATATAAAAAATAAGTCCACTATAATAAATAATCTGGAATTTATCAATTACATAAAAAATAAATTTGATTTTATTTCAATATCTGGCACAATAATTGATTTCAATAAGAAATTATGAAATACGTACGTCAGCATCTTTTATATTTTAACATTTTTAATTTTAAGTGTTTTAGCTTTAAACCTATTAATATTATAGATTAAAAGTTCATTAAATTGTTGAAATTGATATATAGCTAGTAACATTTTTGAAAGTCTTTGAAGTCCCGTCGGGTCATAACACAAAACCTATTGAAGTTTTCGGCAATATTGTTCGGCGAAAAGTCTGTCCGTCATTGGACAAAGAATAGTTTTATTCAAATAGTTCATTTTCCATCCTTCTACAATAGAGGTGTCAGGAAATTTCACATGGACGGTACGGAATCCTTTATGACTTCATCAGAAAAATCGATTTATCTTGAATTGAAATTCAAATGAGATGTTTTTCATGTAGAATTCGTACAAGTATTTTCTTTGTTATATTGATCTTAAAATATTCAAAGTCATTTGGCACGTTCAAAATCTCTTAATAATATATTTTTGATCGTGTAGAGATTCTGAAGATCTTAAAATCAAGATTCGAAGATGGATTTCTTCCAATTAATTTAAAATTAAAGGGAGCGTGTACTCATCCTTCGCAATCTCAATTCTCTGGAAGCGTGAGACGATGGGATGTGTAACGATGGGAAACCCCATCGATGCTGGCGACGTCGATGTCAGCGGCGTCCGTCGAGACGCCGGCAGGATCTCTATAAAGCGCATGCGGCGAAACTTTTCGGCTGGCACAGATGCGTTCGCATAGTAGTCCGCTCCCCCAGTTTTCCCGACGACGTTTCTCACGCATGACGCGTACATTTTCCTACGTTTCACGGTCTCAAATTAAATATATAATAAGAATATAAAAAAATATAAAATTTTCCACACGTGTGACGTTCGGCATAAATTGTGTTAAAAAGTCCGGAGTCTTTTTCACTAAAGCCCTTTTATTCCATGCTTTAATTATCAATGGAATCAGATAACTGAAAGGTTTTTAAACGTTCTGCTTGCGTAGGATAAAATTAAATTGAAATATAGCAATTACGCGCTATTTTTGTCGAATCATTTGAAACTTGGATTCTTTTTAACGAGCTTTTAAATGAATTTGATAGTTCGATTGTTCTATCGATAAAATCAACAGAATTCCCAGTGACAAATGGCATGTACGTTTCCAAGCATTCTTTGCGATCTTGGTTTGATTTAAACAAAAATAGCAGAGTATATTGCATTTTCTAGTCACAATTCGAGTCACGAGAAAATTTGATTGGAAATTTTTTTACAAGATTTTAACAGAATGTACTGTTTATCAAAAAAGTATCGAAAAAAAGAAAATCGGTGTTTCAGTGATTAATAAGATTAAGGATTGATGAATTAAGGAGACATGGAGTGATCTATCATGGGATTTTAACCAAATCATGAAAAAATGTCGTCAGATAAAGTAACGGTGAAAATCCTTGAATGTATCAGCGAGAATACCGTGCGACATTGCTACATCAGGAAGATATATTATATCTTCAGCCTCCGTCTGTGAATTTTCTACGCGTAGTGATGAACGAGAAAATGGGAAAAGGCAGAATTAATGATAAAAATTCGTGTAGAAAATCGGATGATATAAATGGTCCTATTCCCTATGATACATAACATTTGAAAGCGTGGTAGATAGCATTATATATTCTTCATTTAAAATTATAAAGAAAATATCTTTTATTCAAAGATTAATCAACAATATATATGTTAAATAAAATTGTGCAAATCAGCAATTATTAGCAATTTAATTAAATGGTAAGTCAAAGATTTTAACGATAGCTCAATACCATAATTATCTAAAAAATTTAAAATATAAAATTTATACATATTTTAAATTTAAATAAATTAAATGGCTTGTATAAAAGAAAAGTTAATAAAAATATAAAAACCAATGAAATGTGCGTGTAAAGTGTAAGTTAAGAAACCATTTATCTTGTTTATAAAAATAAATTTATTTATATGAAAACGTGTTCAGTAAATGTTGAAATTTAAATACGATTTAAAAAATACAATAATATGTGAATATAAATCAATATTACAGTTTTTTTTAAATATTTTTTTGTTCAATACGCGTGACATCTGAAGGCGATATTGTTGAATTTTCCTGCTACGTTACAATCATTGTGAATCCGGACTGTATACCAGATATTCGGAATCTATTCGAGTCAAGGTTGAGTGAATAGCGAAGTGAACTATACAATAAAATTGTATTCTTGCAGAAACATGCACGCTGTTTATTAATTTTACTATTTCCGTGTTTATACCGAAGTCCAATATATTACAAATTGCGAGAATAAATAAATCAGTTTTTAATGTATTAATATTTAATTTACGCGACGTAGACAAAGAAAAATGAACAATTAAAATTTCTATTATAGAAAGTTGTTAGATGATCTATTAATATGTTACGTTTTTTTTTCTTCGTTAATGAAAACGCGAGGAATTGTATTAAATTGTAATTAAGATTCAATACTGTATTATTTTGATTAACACGATACGTTATACGGATCACATGAAAGTTCTGTTTGAAAGATATATATTGTACAAAATTTCACGCGTGTGAATAGTTATGTACTTACATTTAGATTCATTTTGATTGCTTTCAATTGCATACTCTAATTGGGATTCAGTCAATAGATTTACAAGTTTGTTCATCTTGTTCTCACTTTAATACGGAATTGAGAGATATAGGAATACAGATATAAAATCAATACAGATATGAAATCAAAATTTTGTTCATAATCAAAATCTTGTTATTAAACTACCAGCATTAAGATATAATTAAATAGTTTAGTTATGTTGAGCTAATTACTGATGCGAACATAATGGACTCATGGTTTCCTCAAAATTAAATTAGCGCGTGCTTTAATGAAACAAAATGAATACAAATTAATGTAGGATTTGAAAAATAAGTTAAATAACGACCAAATGGTCGAATGAAATCAAATCTATCGAGCAAAACACGCATGAAACTATACTATTCAACTGTATATCACTGAGGACTATATGATGTACTATACATCGCTGAATTGAATGTAATAAAACTTAAAGTGTAAATGGTCATCGTGTTATCCAAAATGAACATTTAGATAGAAAAAAAAATTTGATGAACAAATACAAATACTTTGAAACATTTAAATGTAATTTTGCGTTCAAGGACCAGTAGTCATTCGTGTCAGCGACTATACGCATTCGTTATGTGTCCGTTTAGAACCGAATGTGTCAGATAATAATCTTTTAATTATAGTTTTTTTGACAATTAATTAGATAAAGATGTATTAAATTTTCAATGTAAATCAGACATCAGATGTCTAATCAGACATCTAATTTTCAATCTGAGTTTATGTATAATATTGTTACAGTTTATTACTTATTTTAATTGCTTATAAATTTAAAAATTTAAATATTTATCTTAAACTTTTGCTTAATCACTATTTTCGCAGAGTGTAAAATTGCATATTTATGGAAGAAGACTAGAGAATCTCTGCCAAACAACTTGCTACTTCGTTTATTGCGCGCAATTTGTCGTAATTCTGTGCAGAACAGTGAAGTGGTTCATGTTAGCGACATTATCTACGACTTTAACAAGTTCTTGTCAAACGCGCAGTACATGCAGCCTCTGCCTTCGGCAAATTTTATCAATGTGAATTATGAGTTTCGAAAAAAGTGGAAATTTCCATTGGCCAATCGTTTCGCTTGTCGTATCCGATTCAAATATTTCATGCTGTTCTGGTAGTTCATGTTAGTCTGGTTTATATCAACGATGTCACATTAACGAGTGTAAAGACTGGCTAATAATATGGCAGTGTGCATTTTGCACTGAATCGCATCGCAACTGAGTCGACTGCGCGAGATAGAACAGATTCTCGGATCAACGATCATCGAAGAAAGTTTTATTGTCTCAATAAAATTGCATACTCAAGAGCAACTATGTTCATGTTTCAAAAACTATCGAGTAAAGCTTTTAGATGTCACCAGATACCGACAACAATCGGCAGTCTGTCGCGACTTCGAAGATCGGTGTCGCTGAATCAGCAGAATCTGACGTTCTACGATTATCAAAATTACAGTGCTGAAACAATTTTCGAGTTGGAAGAGGAATCGGACAGCTTTTGCCCCTCGCTCTACTTTCTTTTGGATTTCTGCCATCTGTACTACATACCGTCTATCATTTTGCTGGGCCTGGTGGGCAACCTGTTGTCGTGCGTGGTTTTTCTTAAGACGCATTTAAAGCTTCGCAGCTCCAGTTACTATCTGGCAGCATTAGCCACCACCGATTTCAGCTTTCTCATGTCCCTGCTTCTCGTGTGGCTTAACAGTACCATTGGATGGAAGGTCTTTAATAATAATGGTTGGTGCGAAACTTTGGTATACGTCAGCGCGGTTTGCAGCTCACTTAGCGTCTGGCTGATCGTCGCCTTCACCGTCGAGAGATTCATCGCCGTGCAGTATCCACTGCATCGACCGCATATGTGCACCGTGGCGCGCGCGAAGACGATTATTCTGGTGTTAACGATCCTCGCTTTAGCCTGTCACTCATATTCCTTCGTTACCGCCGGGGTGGTGAAGAACCAGGGCGGCGACGATGTCTGCGAGTTGAAAATCGAGTACCTGGAAATCATGCAGATTATCAGCATCGTCGATAGTATAGCGAGTCTGATTGTGCCGCTCGTACTTATCATCGTGATGAATACCATGATTATGAGAAATCTCTTAAAGTTCGGCAGGCGATTCAATCAGGAACCCGGTTATACCGCAAATTGTTCCAATAGGGAGAAGTCCGACATCAATCTCAATCAAATCCCGGTAAGTTTCCTAACAGAACAGTGCATATACAACATGAAAATGTTATTTAGAACGTCTGTTCTAAATAACATTTTTATGTTGTATATGCACATAACTAATACGTATATATTATTGGCAATATATTGGCAATATTGATTGTTCTTACGTTGCTTTTCTTTTATAAAGAAGTTTTATATCTTATTTCAAGTTATATTTTAGTTTAACGTATCTGATTGAAGAGTATTTTTTTTCTTCTTTTAATGTCACATGTTAAAAATAACTTGTTTACTGATTATTTTCTAAGAGGGTAACGATATTTATGTTAATGTTACTATTATTAAAATAGATCTTCTGAATTATTAAAATAAATCTTCTTAAAAATAATTCGAGATAATTATAATTAATTGTGAGAAAATATAAATACTAAAAATTGATTAATTTTTAGAGATTAAAAGTTTGAGAAAATACGAAATAAAAATGTTGTCAAATTGTTTATATTAAGAGATATTTAATAAATATTGAAACAATATATATTCAACTTTAATAGTAAGACGCACTTTAGAACGTTAATGAATTATTATAATATTTTTTTTATCTTTTTTATCTTTTAACTACTTTAACAATGATTGCGTGTCCGTTTATATATGGATATCTTCCACTTAAATGATATTATTAAGTGGTTAATGCACGTACAACATTTATTATGACAGTGTGCACATACAATATTATTATACATGTTATTTACTGAATGATGTATAATGGATGTTTAATTATTATGCTTTCATCGTAATTTTATAAAATTTAATTTGTAAAATAGCGTACATCTCAAAAACAGAATTCAATCATTAAATGACTAAATGATATAAATGATATATGACTTCAAAATTGAATATAATAATATTGTCGGAAGATATGTGAATATAGAAAAATATTATTTTTATGATTTTTTCCGTTGAGTTCACGGTTGAAAATGTAAGGCCTTGAAATTCAGAATATAGAGCACTCGTGATATCAGTTAGAAGAGTGTTTCTTCCACATATGTTGTCATAAATCTCGACAAGTAAACATTGAAATATTGGGTTTACCGTGATCGACCATGTATGCTGTTCGCACGAGTAGAGCATCAAGGCAAGCATATGTAATCTGAAACATCAACAAGTTGGAAATAGTTTGCATCCGCTATACGATTCCTTAAAGGTATTGCAATGGAGAAAAAAAATCATGTTTATAAATCGGTTTACATCGTAAATAAATGGAGCCTGTCTCGACCTACCAATACCAATCATTTTATCACAATTGATAAATATGACGCCACAAGAAAGATATGAACTTCAAACAATGTAATAAATCATCAATATGCTTAAAGCCAGTATGCTTAAAGAGAGTAAAATAAATATTTAAATATTACATCAATATTCTTTCAGTTCATCAAACATGACATTTTTTTTATTCTTTGATTTGATAATATTTTAGCGATAAAAAGTATGTCAGCTATCAGATAAACGGACCGCTTCCGAATGTGGTTTCTCAACTATTTTGGACTGATGTATAAATACTCCCACTGCTTATATAACCAACCGCCATTCATCTTTACGGATCGACGTGCATTGCTACTTCCTGCTGCTCGCTGTTTATAATCGCAACTTGGTGTGTCGACATATCGTGAATCGCGCGGAATCTGCTTTTTGCATAGCCATTGATATCGCCATCGGTGGGTGTATATAGAGAGGCGGAAAAGATTGCACATGTATTTTGAAATATCTTTCTGCAAATCACAGACGTTATTAATATAATACGCGCAAGAGAAACATATTCATAAAATAATTTTGAGAAATATTCATCCGAAGACAGATTTGGAAAGATATTCAAGTTTTTTTTCTTCGCGATCAATGCACGATGAAAGATATTCTATTGGAAAAAAATGTTTTCTATAAAAAACATTTATATTTATACGATATTGATACTATTGTGCTTTATTAATAAACTTGAAATATTCTTTTAATATAACATCGGTTAAACTTTTAATGATATAATTAGAAATAAAATAAATACGTTCATATCCTTAACTTTGCAACTTTAATGTTCTGCTATTATTCCTGCTATTATCTGTATATTTAAGTTACTAACTGTCGCACAGATCTGTATCTATTATCTCATTGTTTCAACTTATTCACCAAAGATATTAAGAAATGAGAGTAATTTATGTGCAAAAATTCTGTGTAATTAAAAATATGTGTATATGTTTCGTGAAATTTAATTTTCACTGATCAGCATTTGTTCTTTTTTCTTCTTTTCTCATTAATATCAAATATGTATATAAGTTGGAATTGTAAGTATGTTCAGAAATTAATAATAAGCATTCCTGCATTTGAATTACTTAGCATTCGTAACTTGAAAATTCTTGTAAATGAAATAAATAGGAAAAAGTAAATGTTGCATTAAAGGAATTAATCTTTTTATACGTTTTAACCATGTGTTTTGTGTATAAAATAAATGTAGAATTTTATAACTATTATATAACAGATAAAACTATGAAATTATATAAATTAAAATAGAATTATTTATAAAACAAAATTTAAGACGTTAATTTTACTGTAGAAAAGATTGTAAAATCATTTTATAAGAATCTATCCACGAATTATTCCGGAAAAGATATATAAAAATTTAATTTGAATTACCTGCATATTAATTAATGGCTATTTATATATTTGTTGCTTAAGAAATATCTTCTTTCAAAGAGAAAGAAAAAGATATCTTAAATATCTTGCAGCATTAATATTTTTATGAGCAAAAGATACTGGAATTGTAGGGATACTGCATTTAATTATTAATAAAGTCATTACACACCAACTAATATTGATTTCCATGTTATGATGTTTACCTGTACGCTTCAGATACTTGATCATATTATGAATTTCTCAATGTGATTCAAAAGAGATTAAAACTATCTTTAATTATCAGAAGAGATTAAATTCTACTGACTTATTACTTGAGAACAAAAGCAAATAAATTTTAAAGTCATCCTTTCTTATCGGAAATTAAATATCGAAAGCGAGATAAAGTTTATTTTTACAATTGTAAAGATAGTTATAAGAAGATAAAGCATCATTTTGTCGAGCTAATTGTGTAAAAGATTATTACAACATATTTAAAAAACATAACACGCAAATTTATTATTGATTATAGAAAATATTGAGTTTTAATACAATTTAATTATAAGACCGATTTTTATATATTTGTTATATTTATTAATAAATTATATTTATACTTATATTTATACCTTATAATTTGTATATTTTACTTATAATTTACATATTTACATATTTAAAAATAAATTTATAACTGTATAATATATATTTTAAAGATTTATTACATTTGTGTAAATGTAAAGTAGATATATTACACATTTCTATCTTTTATAATTCTATTCTAAAAATTGTTCTTATTAATGAAGTTCTTAATTGTGAAAATCTTTTTTATTTACTTTAATATATTTCAGCTGTTGTATTATTTGTAATATTAAAATAAAGAATAGCATTTTATTTGCTTAAATAGACAAAGATGTTTTTTTTCAATAATTTCATTTTCATTTATAATACATAATAAACGCAATTTGTTAAAAGTCAATAAAGTGTATAGCAGTAATGATGCGTGTATGAGTGATAAAATATAAGCGATGGAAAAATTTTCATTCCATGATATGGACATAATAATTTTTCCCGTTTACATAAGCTATTATTTTTCTCATAAATAAAGATCATATTTGACATATGTGAATTCGTGATAGGGGTATTAATTTTAAAAACAAGCACAAATTTATCTTGTGCTTGTTTTCATAATTCTCTTATATGTGTATTATCTATATATTTCGTATTATCTTATAAGTGTGTTTTATATTCAATGATTTCATCTTTGCTCAAAAATGCGAGTTTACCATTTCTAAAATTGAAGAAAAAACATTAATATAGAAAAAAATAATACAAAAATAATAAAACACAATACATTAAATTTACAAGAAAGAATTAGCAATTGTAAAAAAAAGATGATCTATATCGAACATCAATTGATTGACATTAATGTAAATATGTCAATATAATTCATTGCACAATTGCAGCTTGATATAGTTTGCTATTGCATAATGTATTATTAAATCTTTTTTTATAAGAAAATATTAATTTTATTTAATACGATAATTGCAAATATAATTGGTCCTGCACAATGAATTGTGAATGCTGCAAAACGTAATAAAACGAACTAGATGTAACAATATATTATTTCATATTTAATCTCATTTGCATTTGTATGATGCTATAGAACACTTATTCTTGTATTCACTTTGTACTACGTTTATCGCTGTATAGTTTATTACATCACGCGTTCTACATTATGCAACAAAATGTTAGGTATAAAGCAAGATGATAGAATAAGACGCGATATTCTTCGTGTCGACATTGCTTTCAAAAAGGAAAATGATGTTTAAAATTACTATTTGCAACGTTCTAACAAACAAGTAAAGTTAAATATATTGAACTTAAAAAAAATCTAGTCAGTAAACTTGTATTCTCATCAAATAAAATACTTAATCATTATTATTATTAATTATTAATCATTATTATCATGTTGCACTATAATCTATTTACTGCTAATTAGTTGCTATTACATTATCGCAACAAGAATTGAAGATAAAAAAATATAATGATGCAAATACTGAATTGCATATTGATTAGATTTCTATGAAGATTCGATTTTCTCAGTATATTAAAATGTAATCTTTTAAATAATATTATCGAGATATAAAAATTGAAACAATATATTAAAGTACTCTGTTTTCTAATATTCTTATTATTTATGTATCTTAAGTTTCTATTTTTTATTTTTATTTTAACAAAATTAAAATTAAGAATATAATAATTTAATTTAAAATATTAAAATTTATTTATTCTCTCTTTCTTATATAGAAAAATGAGAACAAAGTTAAAAAATGAGAATAATTTATGTATTTTACTTTTATTATTTATGTATTTTAATTTTTTTATCTGATTTTTATCTGACTTTTCTAAATGACTTTATATCTTTCAAGAAATTGAAGATAGGATTGGATGCATTTCAACAGATTTTCAATATTGTCCTTTCAATATTGCTCTTCTAACAAAAGATTGAAGAAAAGAGCACAGTCTGCTTCGAACAGAATCATCGTATTATTTATATCCTGGTATTCGGGACAAAATTCCGGCGATTGCGCTCTTTTCATACCTTATATATAGATCTTATTCATGAATATATTCATACTTACTTCATATACAAACATTCAAATCTTCTTTTGAAGAATTTATTGTTAAAATAATGATCTGAAAATGATATCTTTTATATTTATTATATTTTCAGTTATTATTATTTAAACTTATAATAATAATAAATATGGTAAATTCTTAATTAAAAATAATCTGATTAATTTTAATAAATTAATAATTCTTTTGTTTACAAATATAAAACTAAAAGAATATTAAATAAAAATAACTTTTTGTTAATTTTACTAATTAATTTAAAAAGATCTATTCTAAATCTATATTAAAATAAAATGAGATTATAATATATTTTACAAAATCATTATTTGTTTGTACATTTTAAATCAATCAATAATTCTTCTATATATTGTTTCTTAATATATATATATTTTTCCAAAATTATTTCACAGATTTAAAACAAAGTTCAGATGAGTTTCCTATTACTTCTTTTCGAAGTCTTAATTTAATATAAATTGATTTTGCAAGGAAAGCTAATAATTAATTACATTAATAAGTATAATATCTATACTTATAATATTATTTTATAAAATGGAGAGAGAGAGAGAGAAAGAGAGAGAGAGAAAGAGAGAGAGAGAGAGAGAGAGAGAGAGAGAGAGAGAGGAAGAGAGAAAGTGATAGTACTTAAAATTTTATCAGTAAATATTATTTTATAAATAACATTATTTATTTACGGAATAACATTTTATAAATTTATAGAATTTAATATAGTGCTATCGTTAAATTAAATTAAAATCTAAAATGAAGTTAAAATTGCAGTGCTCATTACTGATCTTTGTGACATGTGAAACGGTTTCGAGTGTTATGATTTGGATGCGTTCAATTTGCGTCAACCACAACGTGATTAATTCAAGTGTCGATACATTAAATCTGTACCAATAGTGATACAATTGTGAGAATTACGCGTTTCTATACTCAGCATAATAATTCAACGGTATAGATCATATAATGCGTAATTTGTGTTTATATAAGCTTTACATAAATGGTTTTAAAATTATTTCGAAATATTTTGAAAATAAAAATTCTGCGGCAAAATTAATAGCTGATTTTTCTGCGTAAAATACTTAATAAAAGGTCAATATTTATTTTTTATAGATTTTATCTTTTAATATGTTTTATTGTAGAAAATTAATATTTTACCGATAAAAGAAGAATATACTTATAAATTTCTAATTCATTTCTTGTTTATAAAAAAAAAATTTGAACTAATATATAATTAATAAAGTATAACATTGTTAAATAAAAAATATAAAAAATATTAACTTCATGCAAATAAATAATTTCAAAACACTTTTGCATTCTATCGTATTCTATTCATTGGATTATGCAAACTAGATAAATTGTTTGATTGTATAGTGATAATTAGATCACAAGATTAAAAATTTCAATTAAACTTTATGAATTTTCATAATAACGATAAGATCAAAACTTTTATAAAATAAATTTTATTTTATTTTATAATTAATATTTTATTTTATAAATTTTAAAAGCATTTTGCTTTGAAGCATGATTATCAAAGTACTTAAATACTTAAAGTGATTATTAAAGTATTAAAAGATATAAAATATGGCATCTGAAAAATAGCATTATAGTTTTGTTGAGAAGGAATCTTTACTAAATGTTTCATAAATGAAAAAAAAATTTTATATCAAATTGTTCTTGTTTTTGACATATTTAATAATTATAAATTATTGAAGTGTAGACCCGTATACGTTTGCGTGTTTACATACATATAAACAAAGAACTATATAGAATTTTATATATATTGCTTTTACGTATATTCTCCTATGTTTCATTAAAAATATAGTTTAAATTCATTCAGTTTGAATTCATTTTTATTAAATATTCACATTACAATTTATCATTTAATTTAAATTTTAATATTATAAATTAAATTATTTAATTTTTCACACAAAATTAGTTAAATAACTGTTATGAATGTGTGGATAAAAGATATAATCGTTTATCAAATATTGATGCAATAATTCATACCGTATATCAATATCAAATGAAAATACTTTTGCAATACAAAATATATTCCTATTTGAAAATGCTGCACCTCAAATATATTTTTTCTTAGACTATGCATTTTATATGAGTATGTAACGCATCAGAATAAAATTTATCATCATTACGCTCTACTGAGTGCTCGCAAATTCTCTATAAAATATTTGTATGAGATGCGAATGGACGTATATATATATATATATATATATATATATATATATATATATATATATATAGTGT